AAGCATCTGGGAATTCCCATTCAAGGTGAGCAAACACAGTTAATTCAAACACAATTAATTCAAGCAGGACCTCTTGGAACAGAAAAAATTCTTTTAAATTAGCTCCTGTATTTTTGGAAGGCCTTTCTTCAGCACTATAATAATAATAATGATGATGATGATGATGATGATGATGATGATGATGATGATGATGATGATGATGATGATGTCTGTTTAGTAGTGAGATGTGAACAAACAAGAGACACTGGATTTCCTCCAGCTTCTCCTGGCCTTGACACTTCTCTCTCCTTGCACAGTTTCACTGGCCTTATGAATGGCTGTGAGAGGAATTTGGGAAGCTGGAGGCCCTCCTCAAGCTCTGCTGGGAATCTGTCCCAAGTATCCAGCACTGGAGCTGAGATGTGAGAGCAGTTCCCAAATTAGCCACAGTGACTCTGTGCATAGCAATTACTGCTCTGACATTTGGCAACTCTCAGTGCTTTTTCACAGCACTGCTCTTGTGTTTGAGATGTCAATTACAAGCCTCAATAGTTGCACAGCCAGGGTCACAATAAATGGCCATTTTTCAAGTTAACTGCCTGGTACTTCAGATAAACAAAGAGAGATTTGGGCTTCAGCTCCAGTAAAGCTCTCTTACTGCCAATGACATCCAAGTTTCCTGGATGTCCCAGGAAAATGTTTCCATCAGCAACACTGTCCCAGCTGAAGAGCTCCAGAAAGCACCAGAGTTTGGGTGGGATGGTTGGGGTGGTTATTGAAACAGTGCTCACATAAACCAAGAGATGAAGGCAGTGAGAGGTACTGAGCAATGACTGCCCCTTACCTTGAGCAAGGAATACTCAGGGAGCTGGAATAATCTCACATTAGCAGGGCTTTGCCAGTTAATTAATCTGATCTAATCAGCATATCTGTATTGCTGCAGGTGTACCAGTTAATTTTCATCAGTGCAGGGGATCACAGACATCACACTGATATGGAATTACACACGTGGAATTGTGCTCACTCCCCCTAAAACTGGTACAGGCTTATCTAGGAGCTGTGACTCACAGGCAGAACTGCAAATGCAGGGAGCAGCAGATGGGATAGAGGAATTAATACCCCAAACAATTCCTTTCAGTTTACTGGAGGGATCCTTTTTCTACAAGGCTCTTTCGAAAAAAAAAAAAACCAAAAACCAACTGATAATAGGTAGCTATTCTATAAAAGGAGGTATTTGGATGGTTTTCTTTGAAATAAACAGAGGGTGAATCAGTTTAGAGTTGTATGACTACACTGTAAATTAATGTTGCTGATTGAGAAACTGTTCTGCTCCAGAATGTGTGAATATATGTACAAATACAATATATATAAACAAAATTTATTTTATACAACTCCTGTGGGGTGATTCTGGCTCTCCAGTCCTGACAAATAAAAAGTTTTTGTTGATTGTTTTTGTTTTGTTTTTAAGTGTAGTCAGTGAAAGCAGTGACTCAAATTATACCTTGGAAATAAGTAAGTTCACCAACTGTGTTATTTTCAGTCATCTCTCCAAATCTGCTATGCTGGTTAAATATTTGGTCTCACAACACAGTGGACAACAGTTGTGAATAGCACTAAACCCCATTCTACTGATTTCAGCTGGAATAAAACACAGTTGAGGCGAATCTTCCAATTACTTCTAAATCAAAACTGCATGCTATCTTTGCTACTCCTGCAATAATGAAAAAATAATCCTATTGTTTGGAGTAGCACTTGGTCCCCAAGGAAAGAATTCCTTTTGAACTAAACAGTTTTTTGTTTTGAATCTCTGCTAGGCAGGGAAACCAAATACAGCCCTTGGTTTCTCTCCTTTCTGATGAGCTCTTTCACCATCTGTGGATCATGGCCCAGCCTTTCTTTCCACTCTCTGAGAAAGACTCCTCCCAAACACTTCTCCCCATGGGAACACATGGCTGCTGGGAACTCGGGGTTTGATTACATGTGACATGCAGCCACTCCCCAGGGGTCATCCAGGGCCTGATGTGCAAGGAGAAATTGGGGAATTGCTCTCTCCTTCCATTCTGCATCTCTGCCCCAAAGTGCCCTTGGCCCTTCAGAGTTTTCAGGGACACAGTGCAAGAAGCTGAATCCCAGTACTCACAGCAAACCAGCATCGAAATCAGCAGAAGCACGACTGTGAGTGCTCTTCAAAAATGTACAGAAATGGGTATTATGAGCAGAATAAACAGGTAGGAAGCCAGAACAGAGGGCTGTGTTCTTTTTTCCCTCCCACTATTCAGTATCAGCCCCAGTTCCTGGTTTGTGCATGCACCTGAGCTGCTCTCCCTCTTCTCTCACCTGGGCTGGAATCATCCCTGTGGACATCAGTTCTTGGAGCAACATTGTCTGTAAAGAAAAAGCCCTTTAAGACTGCAAATCTATTCATGCTTGGTTAGAAAAAAAAAGGCTTGGTCCTGCAGCTTTGCAATAAATGGTTAATTAATACAATGATGCTGGTGGCAGGTGGAGGAATTAAATTTGTAATTTTTAGATTTTTCAAATTATGTCATACAAACTATGCTCTGACTGTGCTGGTGTGGAGTTATCTCAGAAGGACTGCTGATCTACACAGAGAGAGAGAGATAAAAGTGGGTAAAACAAATCTTCAGGCTTGTAATGGGCCTCTGGTACTGCCAGAAGTGCCTGTTGTTCACAGCAGTCCTGGCAATTCAGCTGGTTCCACAACAGCAAGTCCACTCTTGAAGCAGCAGCTCAGCCCCATTTGAGTTTGGCACTTTCATGTAACAGGGAATTTACACAGGAGTTTTATAGAGATCACACACAAACAAAAAGATACAAAAAACCCCAAACAGTTACAAGACATTTCATTCACTTGATACCTGGTGATGTTGGTTCAGCTCCTGTAGATGTTGGTTATGGGAAGCCAAGCTGCTTTGCATGGAAGAAAGTCACTTCTTCCCATTCTTCAGAAGGACTTTTTGCTGGCAGTGTGACTGATGGGATGACTCAGGCCTGCAGTCACCTCATCCTTGTGAGCAGAGCTGAAAATCTCTTGTCACTCCATAACTTTTCTCCTAGATTCAATGGCCCTCTCCAACTCCCTCCTCTAAGAAAAAGGAAAATGTTCTCCCAGCCTCTCCATCACCCCTGGCCTAGGGTATCTAAAGGAGTTCAGTGCAAACAAACAGTCTTAACAGTTTCTCCTCACCCTCCCAGAGTCACTCCTCTCCTGCCTGGGGAGCACTGTAGGGATACACAGTCTCCCACACTTCCCAGCTCCCATTTTCAGCACACCTGGCAGCAGGCAAACTCTCAGGTGCCTCCTGACAGCCACTGATCACTGGTCCATGTCCCTTACATGGACAGAATTGGCAGGGGGCTGTGCCCTCCAGGCTGGCTCAGCTTGGGACAAGGGTCTGGTTGCTATGAATTACGAGACCTCTATTACATTTCAGGACATCCTCAAGGTACAGAGGCATAAAATTTTGTTTTATACACAGAAATATGAAATACAATGCCATCAGCCCCCAACAGAAGGTGGAGTGAGATGGCAATGATGACACTGGGATGCAAGGGAGAAACAAGGCACCTGACTGAGACTTGGTTCCAGCGGGGAGCAAGATGTGCCAACTCCTGAATCTCAGCCATCTCCCAATTTCCCAAGCACATCACATGTGAAAGCTTGGCTCTGCCATCACACCATGCTCTACACAAACAGCCTTTGTGTCCAGAGGAGGAGCCTCTGCCTGGCAGGAGCTGAAACTGCCTGTGGCAGATGTTGAAATAATTTCTGTGCCGAGACAGGCGCGGGATCTCCGCTCCATGGTGCAGAGAGCTTCAGCAGGCCTGGGGCTGAGGGAGCCCCAGCAGAATGTTGTATCCCAAATTTCAGGAGAGGATGCCTTGAGGAGAGCTTGCATGGCAATCTTCTGTGCACATCAGACAGAATTTTAAGTCACCCAGGATACAGGATGTACCCAGTTTATAAATGGTTCCATTTCATTGGCCTGTACAAAAACAGGCATTAATTAATCCAAATGTAACATCTGACAGCTTTTTTGAAAACCTCTTGTCCTGGTTTGGCATCACAACATTTAAATATATCACGATGTGCTTTTCAAAAGCCTGATTGGAAAAATTACATCATTTTGGACTTTCTCAACATTTGGTGCGTCAGCTCCCAGTGTCTGAGAGTCCCATAAATAGATGTTGGAGCACCTCAACACAATTCCTGTCTGCAGATTTTCCATAACACACTTCACTCTATTATTCAAATAAAGTCCAAGTGGAGCTTTCCCTGGGAACAGGGGTTATGCAATGCTCAGTGCAGGAGGCTCGAGAAAAACAGTGTAAAGCCCAACATGAGCTGCAAACACTTGCAGAGCAGCAGAGTCTGTTTGTATTTATTTATGTGCTGTGTTTCCATTTCATTCTCACTTAACAGCCCCAGCTCCTTTTGTCTCTTTTGATCTACCAGACTCTTTCTCACAGCTTGCTACATCAAGAATGTGGCCCAGAAGCTACATAATAAATTGCCAACCTTCTAATAATGAAAATAAAAATTGCAGGATGATCAAAACTGTACTCTAACGAGATCCTTATGCTGCTAGGAACTACTGTTTCAAATTAAAATTGTAAGCCCCTACAGTATTTTGCCAAAATCCACCAAATTCTGGGATCTGACAGAAAACCAGGATATTTAGTTTCAGGTCAAAGACGTAACATGACTTTACTACAGATACCCCCAATAAGCATCTAAGCCTTATTTGTGGATGAATTTTATTATCTGTGCTGCCAGCCATGAGCATTTTCATGAGAGAGCTCTTGAATGCAAGGATTCTCTCTAGCATCACCATTTCCATTCGTTTTCCATTCTATTTTCACCAGACTGGTGAGACATTTCACTTTCAGTGTGACTCAGAATGCCAAGTTCAGAAAGAAAATATCTCCATAGTTACACACCTCTCTGTTGCAATGAAGTGCCAGCTCTCCATGCCCAGCTTTCAAACTGTCAGTGCCTCAGTCACCAGGAGAGATTTAGTTGTTAGCCAGCACTGAAAACTAACAGCAACATTTTCCTCTCTGCAAGGACAGCTGAAAGACCCCATGGAAATGATCTAAAAACCCAGTTGGGAAGGTAAAGGAAAATTTTGTGTAGAGATGCATCCAGTCTGTAATACCAAAAGGAAGGATTCAGCCTGAATTGGTCAAAACCAGGGAAATTCCAGAGGGTCTACATTAGGAAATCAGAGATGTATGGACCATATAAATATGCAAAAATAGAATCTATAAATACAAACTCTCAGTATAAAATGTAACACTCACATTATTTCAAGTTTAACTCTTATGTTTGCAATGTACAGAAATTAAGAAAAAGGTATTAATTAAGAAGTAATTACAAATATTCTTTCATTTAACACAAGTACAGCAATATAATGTAAGAGATCTCCACCTTTCTTCAGAAGACATTAGGGGACATCAATACAGGCAACACCATTAGCTAGAAATGCATGGCCTGGGTTAGAGATAAACCCACAAGTGGTTTTTTGTTTGTTATTTAATTCTCATTTCTAGAAATAAGAAATCACTTTGTGACTGTCTCTCATTCTGACTTGTGCTGTTACATTCTAAAGTCACAATCACATCTCACTGTTTGCTTTATAAAGACAAGCAGGTTGCACCCAGCCTTCTCCCACGGACTTATAAATCCTCAAAATCCTATAAAAACATAAATTCGCTTGACACAGGCGAGTTCAGGATCTGATGCCCTCTGGGGCCTGTGATAATTTCGGCATCGGTCTGAAGCACCAGCAGCACCAGGTCCAGAGCTCTCCTCCACGCCTCCGTCTTGGCCGCAACGTTATCACAAACCCCTAAACCTGTGACCTGCTCAGGGAAGGGTTCAGAGCCACTCCCGAGCACTCCCCCTCTCCTAAACTCTTCCAAAATGTAAGCCGAGGGAGAGCCACAGGCCGCTGCTTTCTGGAGGTGATGATCCACGGCGGCACCTGCTTCCAGCTCCGAGCCGGCCCTCGCGGTGTTCCGCAGGAGCACGGCCAGGTACCGCCTCCAGCCGCTCGCCAGTGCCTGGAGCACGATGGGTTTATACTCTGCCAGCCAGGGCCTGCGGAGCTCTCTCACAGCTCCGTCGCCTCCCGGCCGCCCGGGCCGCTCTGCCAGCGCCTGGATGTGACTGAGGCACAAGAGCTCCACCGCACCGCCCCCAGGGAAAACCGTGCCGTCCTTCAGAGCGTGATGGAGCCGATACAGCGAAGTCCAGAACTGGTCCTCGAGGAGCTGCGCCTTGCAGGGCAGGGCAGTGGTGAGCACGGCCGTGAGCAGCGCGATGCCTCCCGCGCCGATCCGCGCCGGCAGCAGCTCGCCCAGATCCACCGCACGCCCATCGCTGCTCTTCCACAGCTCCGCCCAGGCCCCGCTCCCGACGGAGGCAGCGTTCAGCTGGCTCGGGTACGTCACTGCCCGGGCACCGGTGGCCGCCCCGAAGGCACGCAGCACATGCCGGGCCACGCAGCCAACTACCAGTATCCTGCTGGCCGTGCACCTCTCCATGAGGTTCTTGCACACGTTTCCTTTGACCAAAACCAGGTTTACTTCAAAGCTCATCAGAATATCCAACGTTCTGCTCAGCCACGCATCTCCTGCCCGTCCCTGTGGATTGGGATGCTCCAAGATGGTGCTTACATTAGGTGGTCTGTTAAACCCTAAGTGTCGGTACCCCTCCGTGAGGTCACCGTCCATCAGCAGAACGCGGAGGGGCTTGTCTGCAAAGTGTTTGATGACCGAGGCTTGCTCTGGTGACACCAAGGTGACAAAGCCTGGGGAGACACAGGAATAGCTCTCGGGCAGGCCCAGCACACAGCACGTCACAATCTCTGCTATGTTAATCTGGGAATTGCCGCTGCCCTCTGCTCTCTCTCGCTGATAGGCAGCAATGCTTTGTAGCAGCTTCACGCTGCTCTGGTTTCCGTGGCTCAGAGCCACTGCCAGGTGTCCTAAACCACAACACCCACACACATCTGCCAGTGGTCCTGAAAGGTGTCCTTGAAAATGTCCCTGCTGACTTGCAGAAGGGCCTTTCCCTAGAGTGCTGAAGTGTCTGCTGTGGGTTAACTTCCGTGTGATACAGCTGGAAGCAGTAACAGCACTTCCAGACAGCGCGGGTGAACTTTTGTCACCCGCTGCCTTGACAAATGAAGCCACTGAACCGAAGCCAGCCAAGGGTGAAACCAGGAGCTTGTTAAAATTACAATCGTCTCCTTGATGGGAACAAGAATTTATTTGGATTACTTCTTCTGTTGCAGAAATATCTCTCTGAAAACACAGCAAATCCCAAGGATTTGTAAGAGCATCACGTCCAGCTTGGCCAGTTTTGCTTTCAGAAGCCTTTGGCCTAACTCTGCTAGAACACAGCTCTTTCTTTACATTGTGTGTTGGTATCTGAAGACACTGGACTCTCTCACAGCAGGAGTTCAAGCCCTCAGACATCACAGACACTATAGCTGGAACAGGAACGTTCTGCTGGAGGCACTCCACCACAGCACTGCTCCACGCTCCAACCAGGAACAACAGGGTGCTCATCCCCGTCCTAAACTCCTCCTTCTGGGCCTGAATGCTCTCGTTGAGAAGCTGCCCAACAGCACTTGTCAAATCCAAACTTTCCAGCAGCCTAACAGCAGAACAAATCAATGTGCTCTGCTTGGTGATTTCATCCACAATGAATTTATGTGATTTCACTGGCCCCAGGAATGTTCTCCCAGTGGATGCTAAGGCTGAGAGCTGCTGGAGTCCAATGTGTCTCCTGGCATTCACATCCCTGAAAGCCATGGGCAGTGGGCAGCATCTGTGAACAGATGACAAATTACTGCCCCATCCTCACAGCACACCAGAGCACAAATCACCAAAAATTAATTAAACAGTGTACCCCTGAACATGGCTTTCTTCCATATAAACCTTTCTTCCTGTGTGCTTGTTTTGAGAAATCAGTGGGCAGAGTTGCTGAAATGGGGCACTGTTAAAATACCATGGAATTGTTTCTGGCTGGCTGATAGTAAAGAGCTGTTAATTCCCACGATTTCTTACACTTCTGGCATGCAGGCTGTGTGGAACTACCACCTCCTCCTGCCCTAATGTCCGGAATTTCAGTTATTTGCCTGACTTAGGGCAAAAGTTCATTAGAGCAGAATGGACAAATTACATGCCAAACTCAAGAGCTCTGTGTGGATCCTTCTTGGTAACAACAGTCATGCCATGCTGACTTTAACCTTCAAGTCTGGGAAAACATATTTTATTCCAAATTCTGTTTAGTCCAACTAACATGCATGAATACTTCATTAAGCAAAATGAAAGCAATGCCACTTCTTCGTAACTTACAAACTGCTGAGACTTTAAAGTTTTGACCAACTATTCATTCTTAGCACATCAAAAAGAAATCTCTCACTCAAAATCTCTTCCACACCATGGTCCTGCGGCAGATGCAGATTAAAATAAAGCTCCCTTTTTGAATAACAAAGTATACACAGCAAGAATTGAGAACCCTGAGTCCTGTAACTCTTATGCTCAGATTCACATCACAGAATCACAGAATGGTCTGGGTGGGAATCGACCTTTAGGTTCACCCAGTTTCAACGCCCTGCCATGGGCAGGATCATCTTCCACCAGACCAGGTTGCTCAGAGCCACATCTGACCTGGCATTCACCACTTCCAGGGATGGGGCATCCACAACTTCTCTGGGCAGCCTGTTCCCGTCCGTCACCCCCCTCACAATAAAGATTTCTTCCTAATATCCAATCTAAATCGACTGTCTGTCAGTTTGAACCCATCCTCCCCTGTCCCATCACTATATTCCCTTGTAAATAGTCCTGCCCCATCTTTCCTGTAAGTTCCCTTCAGGTACTGGAATTTATTCCCATCATTTATTCCAGCTCCCTAAAGGCCCCTTTGCGTAGCTATTCCCAATCCAAAAAGCTTTTTTTTTTTTTTTCTCCCCATCCCACACAGCAAAAGTCCGCTTGAATATTGTGTCCTACTATCGCTAGGGAGAGGAAGCGCGTCCCGGCCCGCCCGCTCCACACGGCCGGGGGGAAGCCGCCCGGAGCGGACACACCGGAACTGCACTGGCGGCGGCCTGGCCGCTTCCTGCGGCCCGGAGGATGCCCGGCGAGCCGGTGCGGGTGTCTCACCGGAGGGGCCGCGCTCCCGCCGCTTCCCTGGACACGGAGTTGCCTGGACACGGCCGCCGCTCCCTTAGGCTCCCCGCGGGCGGGCCCGCCCTCGCGCTCCCTCAGCTGTCCCTCACGGGCACGCCGCGCTCTCATTGGCCGGCGCCGTGAGGGGGGGCGGCTTCCCGCGCTCGTTCCGCCCGCTCATTGGCCGGCTGGGCGGCGCGTGCCGGCTGCGCGCGGCCGTGCGGAGCTCCCGTCTCGTCCCGCCCGGTGCCAGCCCGGAGCGGCGTTCCCGGCCGGATGGTGAGCGCGCCCTCCCCGCCGCGGGCTCCCTTCCCACCGCCGCCTCCCCCGAGCCCCTCCGCCCCCTCCCGCCGCAAACCCCCTTCGGGTTCCACCCCTGCCCAGGCCGTCGCTGCTGCCCGGTTACCTCGCACAGCGCGCCCCGGAAAGGCCCCCTACTCCAACGGGAAAAACGCGCCCGGAAAAACACCGGGATTCGCAAAACGCGTCACCGGCTCTCGGCGTGCCTGGTTCTTCTTGGCACAGCTCACAGACCGCAGCTCAGCGTTCGGCCCCGGCAGCGTTGTCGGAATGGCACCGGCCAGGCCCGGAGGTGGAACCTGAAAGGGATTTATTTGCACGAGTCAGATGTGAAATAAATGGAACAGTAAGACTCCGGAGCCAGGAAAAGGTCTCGTGTGGCTTCTTCCCAGTGCAGCATATAAAAGTAAAAGTCTCATTCGTGTGTTAATAGCAGCACAGGGAAGTCAGGGGTGAGCCAGACAAATGGCTTTGCAGTCCGGCCTGGGAGAGGCAAATCACGTTGGAAAACGAAATTTCATTAACAAATAGAAGAAAATGGAATCTTCTTAGTTAAAAGAGAGATCCCAACCCTAAACACGTTAACAATTCAGCGGAGGCAAGCCACTGGTCAGCAGTAACTAGGTAACAAATCCCTTGCCTTGTGCTTGTTTTATTTACTTCTATAAAGCCTAGCCACTTGGAGCTGGGGATGGGAGGGACTGCCTTTCCTTCCACAATCCTGTGCAGATTGGACTGCAGGACGAAAATCTGTCTGCTGTTGCTTTAAGACCAAAACTATACTTGAGGAAGGGGTTTTTCCCTGCTGTATGGGTGGGTGGGACGCTCTGTCCTGCACTGGCTTACACCAGAGGCAGAAAAAGTCTCGGAAGTGTCCTGGATAATGATGCACCAGCTCAGCACAAGCAGATTAGTTCTCCTTATGGGACAGATCGTCTGTTATCTCACTTTCCCACTGGATGTTGCTGCCTGATCCCACATCTACTCGATGGACAGGCAGCCTGGAGCCACACAGCTCCCTTTACGCTTGTTTCCCACAGGAGTGGCTGATTTTGAGTCTTATTTACAGCCAAGACCCTAAGCAGCCACCCTCCTTAGCTGTGAGGATGCTGTACTCATGTTTCACATAAACCTGCAGGAAAGGCAACTGGCAGGAGGTGCAGAGGGTCATGGTCACCTCAGTGAGTCTCCATTTTCAGGCTGTCCACCTGGTTTTTTGGCATTATTCCTTGAATTGATAATACTTCAGTTTAAAACAGAAAACAGGAAGGCCAAATCCACATTCCCCAAAAACAAAATCTCTTTTTTTCTTTCTACAGCAACCTAAGGAAATTGACCTAGAGACTCAATGTCTGTCATTGGCAGCAAGGAAATGTCTCTCACCTCTACTGTATTACTGTTCTCGTTTATAATTAAGTGTATTTGAAATTCTCCCAGGAAGGTGCTGTTTCTTACCTGTTCTCTCCCTTCACTTTCTGAAGGCATCCAACTATAGAAAACCTGGCTTAGGTACAGCCCAGAGGAAGAAAAGTGGCTTGAAACCTGAACTTACAGAAGAGCAAAAGCAGGAGATCAGAGAAGCTTTTGATTTGTTTGACACTGATGGATCTGGAAGCATTGACATTAAAGAACTGAAGGTTTTCAAACTTTTTTTTCTTTTTCCTCTGAGATGAAAATATCTTTGATCTCGAAATTGTAGCTGCATTTTCTGTTTGTCCAACCCTATTTTAAAGCAGTTTTTGGAGTACAAGGAAGAGTAATGGCTTGCTGTCATGACTGAATTTGGGGTGCACTCTGCATGTAATGCATGAAGCAGACAGGCTTCTGTGTGGCTGTTTAAATCTGACAGCTTTGAGCTTTAGAGAAACTAAACAGTTTCAGGTTTCATGACTAAGGTGCTTGTTCCTGGGAAGTAGACTTTTGTTGTTCTGGGATGAGTATCAGAGTATCAAATATTTACTTCACCTGAGAACTAAACACAGATTTTGTATGCATTCAGGAAAGTTACAACCATATTTGCATATATGTAATCCAAAAAATACCTGGTTTTTAATTTTAAAAAGAACAAAAAAGAGATCTGAGTTGTGTTTCAGTTACAACTCAGGCAGTGTGTGTGCACTTGCACACATACAGTAGTACAAGGGGAAGATGAATATCAGTTGTCTCCCTGTGATTTTATGTGTTTGATTTTTTTGTAAGCATGAACACTTTAAATTTACTTACCTCCTTTACCTTGATTTCTTACATACACTCTGCTCAATTTCTGCATGTGAAACCTCAATTTCTGTAAACCTCAATTTCTGAAATCTCAATTTCTGTAACCTGAAAATTACCTCTGCCTGATATAAACAATGGATTTCCACTACTATATAGGAAAAACAACACCATAAAAAAATCAAACCAACACTATTATTGTTCAGCAAGATGAAAGAAGATGGTAGAGGACACCAAGGTTTTTCCATGGTTGTGACTAGAGTTCTGGACAAGGAAATGAAACAGGTTTTAGCTCAGCTCTTACACCAAAACTCCTAACAGAATTGGTTTTGCTGTTTTGGCACAGGTTGCAATGCGTGCCTTAGGCTTTGAGCCAAAGAAGGAAGAGATTAAGAAGATGATAGCAGATATTGACAAGGAAGGAAGTGGCACCATCAACTTTGAAGACTTTTTAGCTATGATGACACAAAAAATGGTAGGAACTCTTAGCAGAAGTTCTTGTGGCAGCATAAGAGAAAGGAACATCTCAGTGTCAGGGGTTTTCTGATTAACATATGCTTTACTCTTGGTTTAGAGCGAAAAGGATTCAAAAGAAGAAATCCTGAAAGCTTTCAGATTATTTGATGATGATGGCACAGGAAAAATTTCATTCAAAAACTTGAAAAGGGTTGCCAAGGAGCTGGGAGAAAATTTAACAGATGAAGAACTTCAGGTAAATTCTGATTTGCCAGAGCTTTTCTAACAGGCACAGACCATTCCTGTAGCTCCCAGGGATTGGGTGGGAATTTACTCCTATTTCAGAAGGGCTGAGAGATCAGAAGTATGAAAAGCAGTCAAATCCATTGTTGTTTTCACATGATATGCCTCTGATTTATTGTTGTTTTAATGAGTGGATTGTGTTGTGTTGTTCATCAGTGCCTGATGAAATGTACACTGTGTTTTGTAGGAAATGATTGATGAAGCTGATCGAGATGGAGATGGGGAAGTAAGCGAGCAAGAATTTTTGAGAATCATGAAGAAAACTAGCTTATACTAATATTTGTTGCCTTGCTATACAGCTGGGCCAAAAGATAACCTGGAAAAGGTTTAAAAACTGGGCTTGTGCCTTCTGCATGTTTTCTGCCACGTGAACAAAGTCTGAAAGGGCAGATTTTTTGGTTTATTTCTCTTTTTCAACAAAGATAATTGGGGAAGGAGGGCTGCAGTACCCAATACTGCCAAAATGAGATACTGCAGAAGTCAAGGAAGATACTGCAAGGCAGGGTCGCTTCCCCTCTACCATAACAACTTCCCTGATTGCCATTTTGGATAAAAACTGCTGTGTTTTACTATTTAACTAAAAGATACTTCACTTCAGATGTGAAGATGCCCACTGCTGCTGGGAAAGGCTACTTTGCCTTTTCTAAGGTTACTGATTGAAGGGACAAGCACAGTATTTTTTATTCCTTTGAAGGTTTTTTAGGTTATCTTTTGGTATTTGTCTCCTGTTGTTTATTTCCATGAAAGACTCTAAAATTAATTGTATATTTGTCTGTATTTCTGTATGAAACACTGTTTTCCTATGGCAAGTTGTTTCTGGATTTAATGGAAAGCAAATGTAGATTTGGCTCTTCCTTTGGAGCTCTGTGCTATCCATAGATGTTCTTGTGTTTAGCTGATCACCTGAAACCAGACTGAAACTTGAATGTAACCTGCTTGGGTGACCAAAGTTTATTGTTTATAACCAGGCAACACCTTATGCCATTGTTCTTACTCCCCAGACATCCCCAGAGCTTCTGTTATTGCAGGATTTCAGGTACCTAAAAAGTTCACTTCCATGGTGCAGGAGAGTAAATGTTGTCTTGCTGACAGTTGCACTGCAGAGAGGATTTGCATCTGAAGTGAAAAAGTAGCTCACCATGGACATCTGTGGAGCACTGAATATTTTAAATCCATGCAGTCCTAATCCAGATTTTGCACATCACAGGTTCTGGGGTGGTTTTTTTTAGTAGTACCTTAATTTTCTTCAGTATTTCTTTCATATACTGTCAATCCAGGACTAATTGGAGAGTCACATTTCCTTCTGAATTCTAGAGCAGTGACACACAGCCTGCTATGTGATTATGTTGCTCTGCAGGAGGGTTTATCCTGTATAGACAATCAGCTTCAGAACTTTCAAATCCTGTAAAACTTCAGAGGCCTGAGAAGTCCCCTGTTAACATGGTGGCTGTAGATGTAATCTGTAGTACTGCAAGTGTTTTAAAATGTCTTACCTTTGTATAAGCGTGAAATAAAACTGTTTTGCAAGTTAAGAAGTTTTTGTGTTTATTCTCTTTTTTCCTTAATTATTTTAAAGTCTTAAATGGTTCAACAAGCCCATTTTCACTTTCATTTATCTCTTCTTTCTAAGAGAGGAATTCTTAGGTGCAGCAGTCTGTCACGTAATTCCTCTTCCACTCTGCTGACTAAAAGTTTCTAGCACTAACCACATATATTCAGAAAGGGAAATTTGAAGTTCTAGTTGATTATGGGGAATCCCAGAGCCTATTAAGAGT